AAAAGGTGTTTTTTTTTATTTTAAACAGCTCAATAACAACATGAAGGAACAAACCATGATCTGCATGACTCTGCTCCATGTTTATACRCTCATCATTGGAGTAGATCCCATTTGACGCCTGCTGCTTCTTTACTTTTCCTTTCTTGGGCCCGTGACTGTGTCCGTGTGAACTCAATCCACCGTGGCTGTGTCCKTGACCCGACTGGTGAAGGGTGACCGCCATTCTGTTTCAAAATAAGGACCACAAACTTGACACCGCTCTATACGAGACCTTTTTGACCAAAACGCGTAATAAATAATGAGTCCTGTTCAAAGATAAAACCCTWTAAATGATTAGTTTATTTTACTCACATTACATTGACCACCACTCCACAGACTGAGGTGATGAGCATGATTCTGCCCTCGATGTTGAAGTTATTACTGAGGAGACGCTCCACAGCCAGATAAACCAAAACTCCTGTCACCACCCAGATGATAAAAACCGACATCAGAGCGCCCAGGATTTCTGAAAAAAATGCAACAAATATCAGATTTTTCAGATGTTGCTTTTATTTATAAAAATAATTAGAAAAAATGATCTATTTGCCTATGAAATGATGCTAAATATATATCCCAATCAAGTTAAACCAGCTGTAAATTACCCGTTACTCTTTTTTAAAAAATAGGCTAACATCCAACAACATATCAAGTCTTACTATTTCCTAAACCCCCATAAAAAAACTGCTCAAAAGACAAAAAGGTGAGCTCAGTGGCTAATTAGCTTATTTAGCACGTTAGCTCGAAGGTTTATTACATTTCCAGTAGATAGGTAGTATCTTTTAATAATGCATGCTTCATGTTTTGTCGTGTTTATTTATGGTTGTCAACCTGCTCGGTGCCACCCGTAGTTGAGTTTTTGTGTGGCGGGTTTGGAGGAGAGCCAGAGGGARAACAAGCTGATGATGAAGCTGCTTAGATCTGCCAACAGGTGAGCTGCGTCTGTCATTACCGCAAGACTTCCGGCCAAATACCCCCCTGCAGAGAGGACAGTTTAATTAATCACGTGTTTATTTATTGTTACGACATGTTACAGCTCACAGCTAAAAGTGGACAATCATCTTTTAGCTAGTGTTTTACTACTTTTAGATTTAGATTTTATAACATTCTGCTGCTTTAGCAAAAGAATGCTAGTTTTAGCATTTAGATAGCCTTTTAATTCTACATACCGTTTTGCAGCTATTTGATAGCTTTTGGCTACATTGAACTATTAGCTAATGTTTTGCTACTTTTAGCTTTGGGTTTAGCTGCCTCTAACTCTTAGCTAGTTTTTAAATACAATTAGGTTTTAGCTTGTTTTTCTGCTTTTAGCTAGCCTTTTGACAACATTTTGCTGCTTTTAGTTAAGCTACAACCATGCTACTTTTAGCATTTAGCTAGCTATTATTTTACAACTACTAGCTTTTGGCTACATTGAACTATTAGCTAATGTTTTGCTACTTTTAGCTTTGGGTTTAGCTGCCTCTAACTCTTAGCTAGTTTTTAAATACAATTAGGTTTTAGCTTGTTTTTCTGCTTTTAGCTAGCCTTTTGACAACATTTTGCTGCTTTTAGTTAAGCTACAACCATGCTACTTTTAGAATTTAGCTAGCTATTATTTTACAACTACTAGCTTTTGGCTGCATTGAACTATTAGCTAATGTTTTGCAACTTTTAACTTTCCTTTTCAAAACATTTTGCTGCTTTTAGGTTATTTTTGGATGCAGTTATCTTTTAGTTGATGTTTGGCTGCTTTTAAATTTTATCTAACCTTTTGACAACATTTTGCTGCTTTTAATTAAGCTACAACCATGCTACTTTTAGCATTTAGCTAGCTATTATTTTACAACTACTAGCTTTTGGCTACATTGAACTATTAGCTAATGCTTTGCAACTTTTAACTTTCTTTTTCAAAACATTTAGCTGTTTTTGGGTTATTTTTGGATACAGTTATCTTTTGGTTGCTGTTTGGCTGCTTTTAAATTTTAGCTAGCCTTTTGAC